GCTGACTGTGCCCTTGCACTGAAAATATTTACAATGATGAGAACTCATTTGCTCTTCCTAAGCTTTAGCCAAATGTTTGACTTGTCATGATTTAGCTGTGATATAAGGCAAACTGAGGTGTTTAATGCCAATGTCAGGAGCTACCAAGAGCCGGTTTTCACAAATCCAGTTTTAGTCTTTACAAGTGGGATGAGTCATTTAATCGAATGCAATGAAAACAGAAAAGCAGGGTAGACGTTGAAGCACAGAGGTGTCGGTTCATCTTCCACTTCTCACATTCCAGAGCAAATCTTTCTAATCAGCAGGAAATTGTTCAGCTGTCTGCAGTGTAACTTCATGGAGATGCTGTGCTGTTTCCCAAAGAGCAGTTCAGGATTCTGTTATTGTTGACAGGGAAGAAAATGCCCATTGAGTCCACTGAACTAAAGGAGTGCCCCTACTGAGTTCATGTAGTAGCATGAAGAAGGCTGGATTAATCAAATAACCTGGCACATCCACAGTTACGTCAGCTTCTTTCCCTTACCATAATGTCACAGTTTAAGTCAGTGGAGGATCTTGGGTCATAGATAATGATCATAGCATTAGGTGGTAGGATGTACTTTCTACAGGAACACAAGGAACAGTGAGCTGAAAACGAGTATTTTCATGTTCACAGTAGCCGGCCATTAATGACACCCAAAGGGTTCAGGAGAAACCTATCTGCTGCCCCAGGCTTTTGAAAGCATTGGATGCACATTGGGATAACACATGTCCAGCTTTGTGAGTTGTATGGCATTGTGAGGGGACATCTGAAGATAGACAAAGACAGGCTTCTGAGTTACTGCTTAATGAATGGTTATGTGTTTGCATTCACATATGCATGAAATCCACCCATTCTGAAAGGGCTTCATTAAGAGCCCAGCATTTAATAAGGACCCACAGCCAGGTCTGAGAGACTTTTTGTGTTCCAAAGTACCCCTCCACTTAAAGTCTTTTAGAAAGAAAACACCTTTCCTGCTTCCTGAGGAAGTTTCAGTGGGAACCTGACTACTTGTAGAAGGAGCTGCCTCAGCTGATTTTAAGTGTTTGATTCTTTGGTGGGCTGGTTTCAGCCTCTTGCAATGAGATCCTTAAGCCTTGTGAAAAAACCCGTTTATTATAGAGATTGCTGCCAAATTAATGCATCCCATAGCAGTTCTCAAAGGCTTTCCAGCTGTTTTCTCCCAAGTCTCCAAACAGCAAGTGAAGGTTTGGTTTGGTTTGGTTTTGGTTTTAAAACTTGAATTGGAAAGTCCTGTCCAAGCTTATTGAAGTCCTTGAGCATCTTCCCAGGTCCTGGTAAGCTTTTTATCAACACATCATGTTTGGTGTCTGTCCAGTTGCTTATCAGCTCACCAGGGACCTAGACTTTGGGAGAAGACTTGTGTTTAGGCCCGTGAGCATAGAACAGCAGACTTCTGAGCTGGCCTGTCTGCAGCAGATCTCTGAGGATGTTAAACATCTGGATTTTGTTCATCACATGCCAGGCACTCTCACCTTAGTCTTAAATCGCACGCAGTACTTGACCAGGAAGCTCACTGGCTCACTCTTGCTGTCTTGCTCACTGAGGGTTTTTTACAGCTCTCTTCAGAATCACGGTAACTTCATGCTCCCCATCCTGAAAAACAAACTGTTAGAAAAGCAAAATAGGAAGGAAAGCTTGGACCAAACCAGACTCACATCTCCGAGCACAACGCAGATGCCATGCTGTGCTTACATCTCATGGATTTATTGTTGTTACTATTATATTTATATTTTAGTGTGGAAAGATGTTTGCAAACTTGAATTTGCAGCTGTTGGGTAGCTTTCTGGAAAAGAGTACAGGAAGGGTTGAGCCCAAGCTGTGCTACCTGTTCTCCAGCTACCAGTATTTCCAGCTCTTCCGCATTTAGAATTGCTGGCAAATATGGTAACGTGGTTGTCATCTCCGGTTACTGCAGGTCAAATGAATCGGTGTCATCATTCTCATGGATCATGCGAGAGGAAGAAGTCAGACCCTGAGGTGTTTAATTGTGCTCTAAGGCATGAAGGAACATCTGGGAGACAGCAGGCTGGCTGACCAGTGCTCAGTGCCTGGGGGGATTGTGGCACTGATCCTTCATTGAAGCCATTTCCAGGCACGTGAAGGGCAAGAAGGTGACTGGGAACAGCCACACATGGATTTACCATGGGCAAACTGTGGCATATCAATGAGCTGAAGTGATGGAGACAAGGTGGTGTGGGCAATGGGAAGAAGCCTTGCTTATTTTGGTACCAAGGTTTCTAACACTTCAGTAGCACCCCTGTACCCAAACTGGATCCAGACTGGGATGCATGATGATGAATGAAAAGCTGACTGAACCAGTGGTTCAGCGCTGAACTGGCAAAGAGTTACTGTGGGTATTCCCTGGGGGCCAGTGTTAATATTTCCATTAATGATAGAAATGATGGGATGGAGTGCACCCTCAGCAAGTCAGCCGTGACACCAAATTGGTGGAAGGAGTGGGTATGCAGGGGGGCAGAGCTGCCATTCAGACGGACTTAAGAAAGTTGGAATGGGCTGACAGGAAGCCTATGAAGTTGAACAAAAAGGAAGGTAGAAAACAGCTTTGCAGGGAAGATGTGGGGATCCTAATGGGCAATAAATTGAATAGGACTCAGCCGCATGACCCTGTAGCCACAAAAGAAGACTGAAGGCAAGAACATAGCCAGACGATAGAAGGGGTGTCCTTGTCGTTTCTGAGACTGTGGACCCCAAGGCAAGAGGGAGCACAGTTGAGGATTGAGTTGGTTGGACCTGAAGCACATGCCATACTGGGGAAGGCTGCAAGAGCTGGCTGTGTTCTGGCTGAGAAGGTTCAGTGAGGAGTCCAACTGATGCCAACTACCTATAGGACAGCCATGAATAAGGTGGAGCTGGACTCTGCTTAGAGGTGCACAGTAAAAGGACAGGCAGGAGGCAGTAGTCTCAAGTTGCAGCAGGGGAAATGCTGGTTCAGCAAAAGGAAGAGTACCTGCCGTTGTGAGGATGGTGGAGCAGGTACTAAAAGTGGTGGTGGCTTCCAGCTTTGAAGCCAGGCCTGCCTTGAGCAGGACTAGGAACCTCCAGGCGCTATGTCTTAAATGTTGGGTTTTTCTCGAAGTAATGTTTGTTAGGGCATGGGAATTAATAATGATATTGTCTAGTTTTTAAGGGGGACAATGTGAAAGTATTTGCCCTAAAGCCTTCATATGCCGCTCATGTCAGATTGATAGCTTTAGGTCTTTGGAAGTGGACATTAATGAATCATGTGATTGTCTTGCCATGAATTCAAAATAAGCCATCTCTTTCTCCTTAAAAGAGACTGTTACGTGCAGCAGAACTCGAGGTGGTGATGCATCTTTGCGACATTAGCGAGCATGCATATGGCTTCAGAATGGGAGCATTGTCTCCAGCCCTGCTTATGTGAGAGCAGGATGTTTTAGGGCAAGACTCTGAAAGTGATGTCTTATGGCATAAAGCTATCTCCCTGGCAAAGAACAGATTTTCTTGGGAGCTTGCTTTCTTCCAGGAGCTTGAAATCATTCATGCCCAACATCCATTGAGCTTCAGCAGAATGTGGCTGTAGCACTGAAATGCCAGCTATTAAATATGGGTTCATTTGACATATGACACCTTCTACTAGACCAGGTTGCTCAAAGCACCATAGAGCCTGGCCTTGAACACTGCCAGGGATGGGCCAGCCACAGCTTCTCTGGTTAACCTTTTCCAGTGCCTCAACCCCTATGCCTCCCAAATAAAATGTACCTTTTAATTTAATGGGCTAATTGAACAGTGAAGTGCAACAGTTTATGCAATGAGATATGGAACTATGGGACTTAAACTATTTTGATTACTTTGATAGGTGTTAAAAGGGAAGTTTAATGTGCTGAGTAGCTGAGCCTGCCTTGGTGAGGCTAGATATGCAATAATGGTCTTCCTTCTGAGGGTCTTCTAAGTACCATTGTTTATTCCCCTTTTTTAATCTGTGTGTTGTGAAATATGACCACTATTTCTGGCGTTGTATATGCCCTGTTCTTGTATTCAGGGCCAGCTTTGTGATTCCCTGCATCTCCAAATATTTACATTGCTTTTCATGTAATTGCCCAGAGGTAGCTGTGTTATGCTATAAATTTTCCAGCACCTTTACGTGGATTATGAAGCTGAGAATGTTGGATAAGCCCCAAATCAGATAGACACGTTCCATGGTGTGTTTAAGAGCTTGTATGCGTTATGAATGGGAGACAGTGCTCAGGTCTAAAGTGAGATGCTTACAAGTTTGTCCATGTAGTGATTTATCAGCACAAGCAATTCAGGTTGTCTGGTGAGCCCCTCAGTCATAGAACCATGCAATCAAATAGGTTGGAAAAGCCCTTTAAGATCATCAAGTCCAACCTTTACCCCAGGACTGCCAAATCCATGGCTAAACCCTGTAGTTGTTCCCATTATGAGACTAATATGTTAAGTCACCAAACTTAGGTCTGAACATCAAAGTTTGGGTGAGTGAAAACCAGAAACCTCTTGACATGGCATGGTGGATTTTTGGCTTTATCTGCTGTGAGGAATGCTTAGAAATATGCTTTATTCTCCAGGATTTTCTCATACATTCACTTAAGGCCCTAATTACTTATGGACTTTAATATAACAGAATTTTCTCATGATAAGTCATTAAATTGTGCTGAAAAAGCTCTCGATAATAAACTGACATTTGTGCCTTCTTTTGTTTCTATGGATATTTCCCCTCCCTTCTCTTTCAGTTCCTTAGTCCTGAAATCACCTGTCTTTTGGCCTAAATTCAGTCCATCAGAATGCTTAAACTTAGGCTTCATTTTAGTATGTACTTACCACTGTAGGACCAAGAGTTGCATAAGGAAATAGCACTATGTGATAGTAAAACCAAACTTTTTTCTTCTTTTCAATTGAAAAATCGGGGGAAGTTGTTTTTAAATACCCAAATGAAATACAAATGAAGATAACCACTAGATGGCACTTGAAAATTGTGTATTGAGATCCTACATCTGCTGTCAAAATAATGACAAATTTGGCTAGAGCCTAAAGGGTTTTATGTGGATCTGAATAGTTCTGAGAGGTGGAGGTGTTTCCAAAACCAAAGTTCCTTTAGCTGTATATTCTTCTTCCGTGATCAAGAAGAATTGCACTCAGCAATGTAGGTTGCAGTAAAGGCTCATTCCTGATACCTCAAATGTTGCCTTTAGTAAGAAGAGCAATGCGTGTAATGCACAACTTGAGGTCATTTCTTCTCATCCTATCACTTGGTACCTGGGAGAGGAGAGTCATATCCAGCATCATGCTCTGCCTTGGCATTCCTTTTACCTTCTTGGCCTATGCCTAATTTGAGATACAACATATTTTGCTGAAGTGTTGCTGCTTTAATATTTCTTTTAATCCTATTTTAGGTCAGTAGTTTGGAAAATAACCTAGGATCTTGCAGGAGAGGGTTCAGGCATGCAACAGCCTCCAAAGTTTCCTTTTTCTCTCATTTTTTGCCTTACCCACTTTATTTCTTGGTGGGTAGAGAAGGTGGAAGTCAATAGGGACAGTTTGGTTCTGCAGCTAGAAATTCATCATCAAGTCAGTATGTGGTATTTCTGTCAGTGATCATTGCACAAGGCTCTTTTAGTAGAAATTTTCATGTAGCCTCTTTATTGTTGTATCTGAGATGCGCGAGAGTTACATTACCGTGATTTATGAGCTAGTAATATTGAAGGTGAGCAAACCGGAGTAAACGCTGTCTGTAGCCATTAACTTGATTCTGGGTCTGTAGGAGCAGTGGGTAGTAGCTGTTTCGAGGGGCTGTCTTAGCCTATTGTACTTGAGTTGAAGAGAGTGAAAGTAGACAAACTCTAATACCGGGTTGTGCGAGGCTATTTTACAGCCTATTAAATACGTATTAAGGGACCAATTCTTTCATTTGCTTATACAGCTGTATATGGTTCCCCTGACACTGGTAGTAATTATGACTGAATTTTATTATGAAGGCCTCGTTACACACATGGTAAACCTTAGAATGGATTACAGTAGCGATGGACACAGCTGCATTGTCCCGGTTTTGCAGAAGATGCTCGGGCACAATCAACAAGAGGTGAAAAGGAGAGTGGAACAATCTTCCCATTCAGCTGTGCTCACCCTGCGATGGATGCTGCAGGGACATCTCCTCCTTTGTGCTGCTGTGTGCTGCAGCAAGAGCACTTGGCTGTGTTTCTGCCCTGCCTGGACCCTGGGGCAATTGGTATGCTTGCTAATTGGAGACTAAAATGAAGCTTTGGGAGGGGCAAGCCAAAAACATTGACTCCTCACCCCCCCCCCCCCCTTTCATTCAGAGGGTCTCCTCCTCTGAAGGCTGTGAGCACAACTCCACATCCGACTTTGGATTCATAGCAGTAGCCCTTCAGTGAGGAAGTTGTTGCTGAACTGCCGATGCCCTCGTGGGAATGAGCTGATGGGAGTACCCCTGCCGAGAAATTCATTAGGTATTTCCTGTGGCCATCTTACCTGTGATCTCACTGGCTCTAAAGCCGGCTGTGCTGAGATTAACCATTTAGTGCCTTGCAAAAGCTAGCCTCGGTTAACAAATCACAAAGGTTTTCATTTTAGGGTGATACTAAAATACCAGTAAATCACAGGAATGACAGTGGTCTGTCTAGGAAAGCTGCTCCTGAGGCAGGCACAAGTAGTCCTGCTCACACAGGGCACAAAGTGAATTTTGCTCTCTCAGCTCTGCACCCTTGTTTTCGTTGCTGTCAGGCAACTATTCTGTCAGAATACCTCCCCTGCTTTAACTCTGAAAGTCAGTGCGTTCCGGCTTGCGCTGTTGCTATGGGCTGTGATGCTCTGCAGACAAGCACTCGAGGGGTGGTTGCATTTCAGTCTACTCCGTGTTCCTGGAGGAAAAGTGCGCTATTGATAAATTGCTCTGGCGTCAGCAGAGGGATTTCAAGGTGCGTGTTGTTGTTATCCCCTTCTCCGTGGAAGGAGGAAGCATTCCGAAGCAGGCTGGGCTCTGCATCCTCTGCGCTTGGAATTTACGGTGTTTATTCTGCTCACCTTCCTGGGTTCGTTGTCACTCCTGTTGTGGCTGCAGATGTAGCAGCAAAAATGAATGCTGTTTTGCAGCAAAAGGATGCCAAAGCTTTCTGGTGGGGTGGGCCGGATCTAGCAGCACAGGGGTCCCAGTGTATCCATCCCCATGGTGACTGACATCACCTATGTATGCAGGAGGCCTGCTGCTGCTCCCCAGTGCCCGGCTCCTTCGCATTTACACTGCACAGAGCATGCAGTGAGAGAAACCCGTGCCTGCTCTCCAAGAGCTGCAGGCAGTGGATGCCACTAGGCTAAGCTGTGTGGGTTTTCCCAGGGGATGCACATGGCCATGGGAAGACCTGCTGTGGCGGTCTGTTGGCACATGGGGTGGTTAGTGCTTGGTGCCCCAAAGGTGGCTCTCACTAATGCCTGTCCCCGAAATCTTGGCCAGCCCAGTGTGTTGCTGGAGTCTTGCTAATGTGCTGGTGAGCTAAGTGTAGCAGTGCCCTGTGAGTCACCGGGGTTCTGGTTGCTTCTGCCTCTGCAACTGCCGAAGGCTGTAATCAATCCTGCTATAGCAAATGTCCCACTGTAACTTAAATTCAAGGCCTGTTTTGGTTAAGGCCTGAGCCTCCAAACAAGATCGCTTGGGTGGGTTGGCTGGATGAGGGTTTATTTCCATGGTGTGTGCTTCTTACTGTTGAGTTAGAGGGTTTCACTTAAAACAACGAGTTCTGAGTGCCGGCTTCCCTTCCCCTCCCCACCCATTTGGAACCCCTGGGGCCGGTTTGGAACCCTGGGGCTGGTTTGGGACCGCAGTGTCGGGTCTGTTTCGGTTTGGAGGTAGACATCTTCAATGCTCTCACCGAGCCCAGGCTCAGCTGCTGCTCCGCATCCTCCCTCTGCCCCAGCACCGAGGAAGCCCGGGTACCTCCCTGCCTTTCTCTCCTCGGAGCTGCCAACTGCCTCCGTGGCCTCTCCTCTTCCCCACAGCAGGCGCTTACAGCCGAGCCCCGGGTGCCGCTCGGTGTGTGCAGAGCCGGCCGGTGCGTGCCGGAGCTCGGAAGGAGCCGGCGCATCCCAGCCCCTGGGCGGTGGGACCTGCCTTGCCCCCCGTACCTCCTCCAGCCGCCGTGCACCCCAGCAGGGGCCCCATCCGCCGGTCCGGTACCCCGCACCTCCCAGCCTGCCCCGGGATGCGCCTCTTCAGCCCCGCGGGTACCAGCGGCGCCGTCAGTTACCGGCCGTTCCGCCAAGCCCCGCCGCAGTCACCGCTGGGTGCAGCCGCGTTTCTGCTGCCTCCTTGCTTTCCCTGGCCCATCGGCCCCAGCGTGCTGAGCCCTCCTGCTTTCCCGCACCCCATCCTTCTGGATCGAGCGCGCACGGGCTGAGCAGGGTTTGTGGATGCGCTTTGCGTTTGGGCAGCATCGGGGTTTTGTTTTGAAGTGGAAGCGCCGTGGTTTTTGTGCCAAACGGGAGCTGCATTGCCCAAACAACGAAGGTTTCCTGCGGGGTCGGTGGCTTGCCGCTTTCATTGCATTTAAAAGGTTGCTCTAAGATGGAGCTGAACCTGTTGTGCCGGGCCTCAGAGGGTCTGTTTGGGAAGCATTGGCCACTTTTCGTTATTGTTTTAGATTTGTGATTAGTGTTTGAAGTCTTGACTTTTCTCAGATCGGGTTTATTTAGGATAAGGCATAGCAGAAAATAAAAGCTTGACCATTTCCTAAACCATTCCCCACTGTTATAAAGTTAAATTATAGAGGTTATTACCCTTTATTGTTTATACATACCCTATATTATTTTTATTATACATTTATTATTTATATATAACCTATATTATTGTTTATCATTATTTATTAATTTAATTATATATACCCTTTATTATTGATATTACCCTGTATTAGTATAAAGTCAAATAATAAAGGTTATTTTTGTAGGTCCAGGAGGAGATTCCCGCAAGCCTGGTGCCTTCCAGCACTGATAAGTTGAAGTTAAACATACTGATTTTGTTTTGCCTAGTTCAGTCTGGTGAATGAGCATCCAAATAGGGGGGGACCCCAAAAGCAAACAGTGACATAATGAAAGACTTCAGAGAACTGCGGGAGGGGGATTATAAAGATGGTCCAAACTCGTACCTTTTGAGCACTTTTTTAGTTGCATATTTGAAATGTGATGCCCCACTTAGTTTTCGTGATTATATGTTTAGGGTATGGGGCACAACGACACATGATGACTTGGGAGGTTTGTTCCTCAACGCCATTGCCCCGCACACCACAGCCCTGCAGGTGCTGGGGTGCTGGGTGACATCCCAGGGGAGACCCTTCCCTTCTGCTGCTCGCCAGGGCTCGGCCTCTGTGTTCCTTCCTGTCAGCAGAGGCCACCCTCTTGTGCTCTGCATGATGGATGTGGAACACAGATTATTTGCTCATGTCTTTTGTGTATGTAAAGCCTGTTATTTTGTCTGTCTCAAGCTAAACGATGCTAGTTTTGACAGAGGTTTTCCTTTGCTTTTGATTTGCCTGTTTTCTTCATTCTTTTTTTATTTTCTTGCCTTTTTTCCATTCTTTTTTTTCACTTTTTTTCCTTCCCCCCCCCCCCCCATCCCTGTATTTTTGCTGTTTGCTCTCTTTCCCTCCCTGTTTGTTTTTTGTTTTTTTTCTTAGTGTATTTTCTAGGCTACAACTCTTAAATTGTAGATTATCAATCAGCTTGCCCTACTGACAGCAAGCACTTGCTGGTAGCCTAACCAGATTATGCTCTTAACTTGGTTTTTCAGTACCATAACCAACATAGCACTCCCAGCGTTGGGTTACACATTGAATTTCAGGCTGAGTGTTGGTTGAAATACTTGGCTGGGTAAGGTCCAGTCAGCTTTGTCTGTTTGGGTGTAAGGAAAGTGCAGTAGTTGGGATCTATGCAAAGTTGTCTTTTTCATTTCCTAATTGGATTACTCACTCACTGTAATGTTAGTATCCAGTTCCTTAGTGTGCCTTCTGAGGGCAGTTCTGTAGCAGGCAGGGTTTGCCTGTCTTTCACTTACTTTAATGAGGGCGTTCTTAAAGGCTGAAGAATTCTCTACAGAGTAAAATAGGATTTTATTATATTTCTCCATGTTTTCTATAAATGAAGAGAAAAAGAGCTATAAAAAAAGAGATCATTATTCCAAATCAAACTTCAAGAAGCAACTTTGCAGCACTTTATGTGCCTCCTCGTGACTTTTCAAGCTTTTGTTTCTTGTGCTTGAGTGTCATGGAATGATTCGTGTTCATTTAGTATCTTTTAAAACCCAGTTGCCTGAAGCGGTGGCACAAGCACATCTGAGTAGAGTATTCCTTGCAGAGAATAGGTAAGGTTTTATTATGTATTGAAGGCCTGAGATGTCTTTGTTCAGTAAGAGGTGGTCCTGTGCTATGCTGTGCACATGCTGTCTGTGTTGGTTTCCATTCTGAAAGAGGATTTAGAGGGAGCTAGCGCTTGAAATGCCCTTAAAGACATTCTTACAGGTAGCTCTGAAGGATTAACTATGACAGTATTAACCAAAAGCAAAACTAAAGGATACACACATGAAAAAGGCAAGTGATCACCAGTAACAAGTTTATCCCCCACCTTTCTTCCTTAAAAAACTTGAAGCATCCTGGTACATTGCTAATGGTGAGTACAGTTGTTCAACATAAAGTACTTTTCGTACTAGAGGAAATCTGATTGCTTTCGTTGCATTAAAACCCTCCAAAGAACATCTTATTTCTTGTGCATGTGAGTGAGCAGAGAAAGAGTAGAGCTGAAGTTTAGAATTGATTGACTTATTACATGTTGCTTTTATTCCTCTCCGGTAAGCATGAAAAATTCACTTAAAAGAGTGCTGTTGACATTCTTCTGATGATCTTAGGGTTTAATTTTAGGTATTAGAGAACAAAACCATCAAGCAACTCGGATCTGAGTTTAAGAGAATTAGGAGTAGTTCAAAATCACTCATGAAGATGGAAGAGGATGTCATTAACAAATAAGTAAGACTTGTAGCAGTGTTGCTAAGTGTTTCATGTGGTGACAGTCTATCCCAAACCTCTGCTAGCAAACAGGACTCCACAGAGTCTCAGCACGTCCCCCATTAAACCATCACATCTCTGAAAATTAGAAAGCTCATT